AGTTACTAATAGCCAATGTAAATCACTTTATTCTCAATTTCTCGGAATCGAAAGGAATCGATGCAAGTGTAATCAGACACCTCACATGGGAGGATCTTAATTGACACAGTCTTGAAAGTCGTTTGGATCCAGGTTTAGAAAATTAGTTCCATTTTTGCAGCGACCCTTTACGCTTGCCAGGTAATCGGGATTCTGCACTATCCAGGCCATAGTGCAATTACACTCCACGGGATTACCTGCAAGACAGACAACCGGAGTTTGAGAACGTGAGAGATAGCATCATTCTGCATTGTGGGCAAGCAATATCTCACCATAGAGTTCGATGAACCCGGCACCTTGCGAGAGAACGTCAAGCATGGGGCGAAATGAATCCATTGCCAATACCTCGATTTCATTCTCTCTAAGATATATTTGCGTGCTGGGCTGCAAACCTGGAACGAAAAGGGGAATCTCTCCAGTACAAATGACATTTATTTCCCGCAGCTGCACCCTTTGAAATGGTGACAAGAGAAATTAGGAATTCCTCGGTCACTGAATGTATGTGAAGTGAAAAGACGATACCTGTGATTGCATCCACCTCCAGGGCTGAGATCGAGTTATCCTCTAATTGAAAAATTCGAATGCGTCCATTGTGGAAATCGAAAGTCCGCGTCGCCAATGTAGGTCCGAGGGAACAGCCCATGCAGTAATAATCCCTTAATCCCTCCATGTCGCTGAAGAATCCAGGGGGGATCTCCGAGATCGGATTCCAACCTGAAGAAGATGCAATTAACGTGACTGAAGGACATTTAAGTTACGTAAGCGGAGAAAAATATTCTCTTTAGTCAAGTGTATGAAACGCATGATCAAGTACTGGATATATTTCCAGTTCACTTTGATAAATAACTCTCTTAGTGGAACTCTCAAATGGAACTCTTAGTGACCTCACTCTTTCCTCTTTTTTCTTTTCGTTCAGAAAATATTGCAGGGAAGGGAGTACTGGAATGGAATAGGAATATTTACGAGACACGGTACAGGCACCGACTGTTCACGTTAAAGGAAATTTCCCTGAATGAAGATAATGCCATTTTAGGAAAGAATGAGGTAAGAATGGCACCATCTCAAGCGATGACAACTCAGTCTCTAGTGAATTTCCCAGGACACGCGCATTGAGAATTGAGCTACGCCCCCTGCGCGCGCACGATGCCAGCATATTTTTTACTTAATTCTCGCCATACGAGAACGCGTGCATCGGGAGAAAAGATGAATATGTCGAGTGAGATTCAAAGTATTCGACTACGGCATTTAATTAATAGTCATGGCTTTCGATGCTTTCGCACTCAATCAAGTCGAGTCTTAACAACTTTGGGAGAGACGAACCAGCCTCTAGCTTGGCTATTCGATTCGAGATTATATTTAAGTTAAACAGACTGTCATTTTTTATCGGTGGCAAAGTGGTAAATCCATTAATCGATATGTCGAATCTCTGAGTTTTTTACGTTGCGGGAGGGTGTCCCAGGGAATCTATTCTGTCTTCGCTTTTAGTGCTTTCGTACTCACCCATGCTGAAAAATGAAAGTCTCGGGAGAGACGAGCCAGACTCGAGCGTCATTATTTGATTGTCTCCGATTTGGATCTGCTCCAGACTCGCACTTTGGATTGCCGGCAAAGTGGTAAGTGCATTAATCGTTAGGTAGAGTCGCGTGAGTTTGTTGAATTGCGGGAGGATGTCCCAGGGGAACTCTTCCATCCCCCCTGGGATCTTTCCCATGCCGCAACGGGAGAGTTTCAGTTCCCGAAGTCGATCTTTCGAGGGAAGGATGGCCCCGGGATGGAGGCTGACCAAGGAGTCGTTGTAGATGTATATTTCCTCGAAAGTGACATCACCGAAGACTCCATCGGGCAACTCGAGAATTTCCCAGTTGTGGGTCAGTTGAAACTTCCTGCAAACATGGAGAAAACGGCTGAAATTCTCTCTGCATTGCGTTAATGCTACTTTAACGTATCATTCGTCTCCGATATTAAAAGTTACCCCTAAGGGGCAGCATAGGAAAAACATTTATTAATCTCTAGGAGGAATGAGATGTTGAGTACCTGGGTTTCCCCTTTTGCGATTCCGTGTCTTTATAGTACACGACATATGGCGCATGAATGCCTTTGGAAAATATACTATATACCGACAACTTATCGTCATTGTGTTGCCAAGGTGACATAATTGGCTTTAGGTGCTACCTAAAGCCTGTTTTTGAATTAAATATGAGGCATACCCACACGCATGCGTGTGTGCGGGTATGCCTCATGTCCCAGTCAACGTACAGCACTGCAGCAACCGTTCAGAATCGACACGATAAAGCTCAAGTTCATTCTTTGCAAGTGCACTGGGATAAACGAGGAAAAAACAGAACTCGTCAGCAATGCTCCGCCTGGCAGGACCATGAGCACGAACAGTTAAGCCGGATGTTCTTGACAGCTTTGACCGAATTACTCTCGTTGAAAGTGGCGAGCCATAACACCAATATCCCTGTCCTACACTTTGATGAATGTGAAATGAAAATATAATTAGGATTTACTACTTTCAGAGACAGATCGGGAGGGAAATACGGGGAAAATACCATTGACTGGAGATAGCGCTAACTTCTTTTAAGTCGTTATCGGGTCTTGAGATCGGAGTGAGTTCCAATCACGGCACATCGATAACTGATGTTCTAGACCTGCTGTGCTAAACCTTTTCAGGTCACGTCTCCCTACACCGCGTCCTTCCTTCCTTCATCAGTTTCGTTTCAACAGAAACTATTCGTGATTTCGGGCAAGTTGGCACGAAAAGGGAAACGCTAATATATTGTTTTTGTAGTATAACATTAACCTTATTTAAATCGCTGCTAATATCGCTCTTTCTACAAAACTTTTCATCTTGAATATCTCATGCCACTAACTTAACCGAAGCATCCCAAATTAGCATATGAGGAATGAAGAAGCAAATTCACAACATCCCTCTTTTCATCTTACCAGATTTCCGTGAAGGGCCAGCTAACGTCGTTGAAGGCGGAGAAGATCTCGTCACTCGACTTCGCCTCAGAACAGTCCACAATAGTCTGTCTCCCGAGATGATGGTAGCAGACACAGGGAAGGATGAGATCGGAGACGGGACACGCGGTACGCCCACTGGTCCCGAGAATGGAACCGAGGAGGAGGATGAAAAGGGAGAGGAAGCCGGAGGTTGCCTGCATCTTCAAGGTGAGCGAGACCGGTAGATGCTTGGATGCGAGGACGGAAGTGGATTGCAATCCTCCTGACGTTCCTTTTAAAGTGTACTCTTGGCGGATGTGAAGATCCGCACGTGATGGGTCCCTTGCAGGTAAAGAAAAAAAAGATGATACCATTGCATATAAAATAAAAATTTCCAGGAAGCCATATCAAAGAGAAATTCTTAGGAATCAACAGGTACGGGAGGACCCACAGTAAATATCATTCCGGGAAAGTAAATGCCGGCAAAAATGACTCAGCCGGAAAGAGGAGAGGGAAATTTGCAGCGAATGGAACCTACATATTCTATTCTGCACGGCCAAAACGGATATTTTAAATGAAGCAATCACTCTCGTGGACGGTCGACCGCCGAAGTGGATACCACTGCAATTTAGTTTCCCGGAAGGGGAACTTAACTCGACGTTAGGAATTAGATTGAATTGCCTCGCTGATTTATCTGACCTGCTAGACTGATCAAAAAGGAATGGAACTTTTGCTGAAGCTCAAATAATACTCTTCGAAATTGTTAGCTACTCTGCAGGAGTCTATGTTCCCTTTGCGACTCATGGTAAAAATGTCAGTGATCTTTCGATTAAGGAACTCTGTTGGTGATAAAAAGAAATTCACATGGTTAGTAACTTTCAGCGGATTTTACTAGAATATGGAGTAAGCAAACGTCTATCAAGACTGCTGAAGATGACCCCATATTACATGGAGTGATAATTCAATGGATTTCCAGCTCCTTGAGGCAGGGGTCTTATCTTTCACATTGCGAAATGGACGGACTGGAGTCCTTCCTACTAGCACGATACGGCGCTTCTCTTTATGCTTTCATGCCGAGTACTGAATAACTCAAAATTCCAAGAAGCTTCGGTGAAAAGTATTCACTTTTATTTGGCGGAATCAAAAGTCGCAATTTCTAATCTGACAATCTTCCTCCTCTTTTTTCCTCCTCTTTTTCCTCCTCTTTTTTCCTCCTCTTTTTTCCTCCTCTTTTTTCCTCCTCTTTTTTCCTCCTCTTTTTTTCCTCCTCTTTCTTCCTCCTCTTTCTTCCTCCTCTTTCTTCCTCCTCTTTCTTCCTCCTCTTTCTTCCTCCTCTTTCTTCCTCCTCTTTTTTCCTCCTCTTTTTTCCTCCTCTTTTTTCCTCCTCTTTTTTTCCTCCTCTTTTTTCCTCCTCTTTTTTCCTCCTCTTTTTTCCTCCTCTTTTTTCCTCCTCTTTTTTCCTCCTCTTTTTTCCTCCTCTTTTTTCCTCTTGTCATTTCCCTTCCGATCACGGAGGTCAAGGGTGAGATAGGATTACTATGATTAGCACTCTCTTGGAAAGGCAGAACCTGGTCTCCTTCGCATAACGTTTCATGAACTTGACGCGTCCTCTCTACCTTTCTTCCAATTCATGACATAATCAACCCACTTTTTTGTGAACTGTAAAATATGCTCCACATCACCTTCCTCTTCGGAAGGAAAATCTCTCCATGTTGCATCATGAAGAGATATTATTTCTTCCACGGCATCATCAGGATTTTCCCATCCATGGAGGCTAGCCCAGCATAGCAGAAATTTGGTGTATTTTTCAAGGAACAGGAATGTGAAAAAATCCAGGATTTGCGAGATACAAAATTTCCTTTTTTGTTCTAGTGGCCTACTTATATTCGTGTAATGCATCGGTGGAACGGTTTCTCAGAGTTTGATATAAAGTACCGGATTCATCACAGCTGGTTTCTGCATACCTTTCTTACATTCCAAGTTTCGTCCACCCAAGTATCTTTAGAAGCTTTAATGGCCTCCATCAAGTTTTCCTGAAAAAGGGACTGGCACCTTCCCCTGCCCTCAATTGAAGGATTTCGTCAATCCTCGATATTCTTGCGCGGATGTTCTCGTATTCTCGTATCTCGGGTGGGTTCGGCCGTTTGTATAATCTTTTTTTTGCTCTTTGCTGAAACTGTTACTGTTGCGGTTGTTATCAGTTGAGTATATCCGGGGTAAATTTCTCCCTAAAATGAAACACTGACCCATTCCCCCCAACGGAGTCGAAAGGGGGCTCTGGAACTGTCCAAGCGGTCTCAATGGTTTTGGTGATGGTTTTGGACGCTGGTGAGGACAAAGAAAGCGACGAACCAGATGCCGTCCCTCGGTGCAAACTAGTGGAAGATCTGGATGCCGTGGATCGTCAATGCCGATGCCTATCGATTCCGTAGATGCTTTTGTACAGCAAGAACTTTACCTCTGGATACCGAAATCAGTTTGATCCTCTCTGGATTTTGTACTGCCCGGTCGAAAAAGTATTTCGGAGTCTTTCAGGGGAAATATGTCTATCGTTGTTAGGTCGCAGAAGACTGACCCTAGCGGCAAGAGTTTGATGGCGCTTCTATTTCTATTTCACGCGCCTTCACCATGTGCGACAGCGAGAAACTCCATTAAAAGGGATCAAACGGGCTGTGGTTTGCCTAGTATCAGATGTGGCCGTCCAATGTTCCAGGAAAACTTCTCAAAATCTTCTAAATAGATTATAGAAAATTCGTAACTAACCGACCTGAACGGAGAAGATATTGCCGTAACTAATGAACTTGATCTGCTGAGTTGCCTTGACAATCACACACATATGTATTTTAGTTATCGCAAAATTTCTGACAAGGAATAAGGAAATGGGATGGGCAATCTGGATCTCTTTCATGGTACATGCCTAGAACTACAATGCAGTGCTTTTTGAAAGGATCAGCACCACGCAAGGATTGACGCAATTTCATGATGCAGACATATGCTTCATTTTCACGAAACTAAGAAAATGAGTGAGAAAATGAGAGAAAATGAGAGAGAAAATGAGAGAAAAAATGAGAGAGAAAATGAGAGAATGGCAAATGCGCCGTTGAGCGCGCCGATGTCATTTGTCAATGGTCATTTCACTTATCGTTTAACATGACACCTCAGCATGTCAATGGATAGAGTGATGGGTAAATAGAGCCTATGGAGTGGAAAAAAAAACTATAGACTCAGTGTCGGCACACAGACGCGGGACCGCAACCGCAACCGCGAGAAATGAACCAACCCAAATGTGGGCTATCCCAGGCTGAGAAACATCAACGTCGAGCAACGTACATCAGTCCATAGGAATGAAAAAAGGGACAGGGAACATGCAGCGAACTGGAGAGTCACGATTCGCAGACCATCTTTTATTTTTACTTGTAGCTCCCGGTCCCATAAATTACTCATTGTCTTTCCAATTTTGGTCGCAGCCTTCGTGAGCGGGATTTCCTCCTACGTCTTGGGAGGTTGTGCAGTGATCCCAAGCGGTTACGGCAAGGCCTCTGCCTACTCTTCCTGGATTCAGTCCACGATCGCTAACTGGGGATAGGGCTTTCGGTTCGATCAGATACGTGTGCGGCACTTTCACAAATGGATGAACATTAGAGGCAGCACCTCAGTAGTCTAATTGTTTCTCAACTGTTTAACGTCTCGGCATTGTTAGCGGCATTGTTCATCTGAGTGAAAAATAAATTCCCACTTGAATGGCTCCGATATGCATGAAATTCCGATCCCAATATTTTTAAATATAGAGAAGTGCCTCTTGTCGGCTTTCGCTGTTCCGTCTGGAAGATCGGAAGTGTGAACCGGCTAGCTTCTGATTCCAAAAAAATGAACTTCGAAACGTCACCGGTATCGAATACAACATTGAACACCATTTATTTCGATGTTTAAAACCCACTATAGCGCTCGCTAACAATGCTGAGAAAATCAAACACGGAAAACATTTGCCGAATTTCTGTAGGATATTTTGATTGTGTCAATTTCAAGAATGGGATATGCATTTCCTTAATTTCTTTCAACTTTGTGAATCGTCACTGTTGCGGAATCGATTATTTTAGTTTATTCCTGTTCAGATGTCCAGATCCCGAAAATAATTCAATAAATATGTATGCACTATTTCATTGAATGTCAAAAAGAGGTATTTCTTTCATAAAGAAACTGTCATCTCTTTTCACGTCCCATCGATTTTCAGCGAGAACGCTCAATATACGGTCCTCGCACGTAAGTTCCAAAGTTCGCGGATTGTGTCCACTGCACCTGGGAGATTCGATGATCTGTCGTCATCGCCCATGGCGATGGTGACAGATATTTGAGCAAACGGGTCAAAACAGTTTTGGTATATCTGTTTCCATTGGACATAAAGAAGTTGGCCAAAATCAGGTCGAGGGCCCCTTCTCCTCTGTATTCTCTTTGCAAGAATTACCCATGACTCGCCTGAGAGGAAGTGCCTTTAATTGAGATATGCATTTACTGCATCTGCTTTTACTTGACTCCTAATAAGTAGGAACTGGAACTTCATCTTTGCTAGATTAATGGGAAGAAGTGACCGAAAACGAAAGGCCCTCGGCTAAACCAGCATCCACGGACTTACGAAGTGTGAAAGCTCCGGCGTTTAGACGGTACGTTCCTCGCATGTACGCCGCACGAACTTGACGTAAATAATTTTCCTTCGTGTTCGAACCATGGTCGTTTAGCGTGGGATGTGGTTCTTACCAATCAGCTCAAACACCTGCTCCAGGAATCTCCAGCGACGAGTCTCCACAGCCTTCATGAAACAATGAAAGAAGGATAAGGAGAAAGATAGGGAGGTATGAGAACTCATCATACGATGTAGTGGATGTTGTTGTGGAACCAACAGGGAATTTCAAAGCATTGTGGCTGCCTCAACTTCGTAGTTTTCCAGGAAGAATTATCAGGCTTATTCCTCGAGGGTATTGCGGAAAGGCGAGCGAAAAAGAGATGTGAAGATTTGTTTCTCAAAACGAAATTTCAGGGAAGTTTCGTGGTAATGTGAAAACCATTTGTCAACGGTTTCACCTTTCTTCAACCCCAACTTCAACCTCAACCCCTCCCCCTTTCTCTACGGAACTCACTGGCGTTAGGCTTAGGCCTAACGGACGGGCTTTCATCAGGTCAGGCTTAGGCCTACCTTATTTCGCTCAAAATAAAATTAATGCTCCACCTACGGACCAATTAGGCCTATGAGGATTAATCCCTGGTCTTCGAGACACTTCGTTGAGGAGGTGAACCATTAGACCAATCCCAGGTAGAATTAGAAAGTAAATTTCAAATGTCATTACCAAAATACACAATTATTTTGCATTGTAGGATCCGCAAGGAATATCGGATTCACGCATCGCGAGAAGTGCATGTCCTGACAAATTTCGTAGAAGCTGGATTGTCTTCTCTCCACTAATTCCCGTTTTCCTTTCTGTTACTTTCACCTTCATTCGGATAATTTTTCTTTATAACATAGACAATTCCTGCCAATCACCAGAATGAATAATTAATATGTGGCTCCCGTGCCTCATTACGGTGCAGTTTCATTGCGTTGTTTATTTAAGGAAGAAAAAGAGAGTTGGGTGCGTGATACCAGCAATTGTGTAACAGGTATTCGTCCAAGTGAACAAGAATGAATATTTGATGATTCGGCTGGTACACGTACATGACATGACAGAGTATCTTTCCCGTTTCAGTCTCTTAATTGGATTCCAGCAGACTTCTTCCCTCGTTATGCAGGTTGGAATCAGATCTCAACGGTCCCGGATGGGTTCTTCAGCAGCATGGGAAAATTGAAATATTTTTCGTGTCAGTTCAGTCATCTCGGACCATCATTGCCAATTGGAGCTTACAAATTCCACGGTGCATCCATGGTCTCTGTTGCATTACAAGGCAACTCGATCTCCACTGTGGAGGAGGATGCGATCACAGGTATGATTTCTCCTCTGCACCCGCAATTGGTGGGTAAGGGAAATCCTACCTCCTATTGCCGTGACCTCATGAGGTGCAACACACCAGTTTTCTATTTCTCTCCCTTTGAACGAAAAAAAATCTCATAAAACGTCACCTATAGGGTATTTATCTGAAAACTGACATTTTCATGGACATCAGCACTTCAATAGGAACACTCGTGTCCATTTTTAATTTTCAGTCGTTCCGTTTGGCTGAAGTAAAAGTTATTATTTGAAAATGTCCCTTTCAATAAATACGCCCTGGGAGCACATACCTACAACGCGGATTTTAACTGAACTCATCACCTCAATAGCTACCATATCAATTGTCACGTTCATACTCGTTTTCAGCTTTCAATTTCTCTCCCTTTGAAACGATAAAAAATCATATAAAACGTATCCGTGAAAAAGGGCCCTGAGGGCATTTATCTGAAAATTGACATTTTCATGGAAATGAGCACTTCAATAGGCACTTTCGAGTATATTTTCAACTTCAACTGCTAAATTCCGTCATGCAAAGTAGATCAAGAATCACTCGGGATAGCATCTCTAAATGGAATAGAGACTTGAAGGTGCCATCATGGTGCCATCATGGTGCCAAATCATTTCAAAAGACACGCATCAATAAAAAATTAGCCGAACCTCACTTTTCCTCTCAAGTCCGTGGATTTCCCATTGGAGAAGCAAACCAAGCTGCAAGTGCGAATACAGGCGGCGAGGAAGAGCATCCTTATTTCTTCTTTTTGGAAAATTGATCTTGTCAGAGTGCCTACATACGCCTAAAATTGCACTGCGGATGTCTCATTGATATCAAGGAAGCTGACTGGAAAATCGTTCTTGCTGCCGCACATCGCTGGACACGTCTACTCGTATACGGGTGAGTTGAAATAAAACTCGCAGTCTCAGTGTTATACGCGTTGTAAAAGCAACCTTGAATACGCAATGTGGCATGAAGGGGGAGGTTATTTACACCGAGCGATCCAGCTATTGACTGACACATTCCATTCAAAATCATGAATGCAATAATATTAACATGACATTGAAGGAGATGGCATTTAATAAGGTGAATTTTTTTGCAACGAAGGGTGGGCATTTCCTGAGCATAGTTCAAATGGGGATGTGAAATGGAAAGTACAATTTCTGCGACGGTTGGCTTTCTCGTGATGGCTCACGTCCCTGTTCTGGACTTTCTTTTTGCTTTCACATAAGCAGAACATCAACCTGCAGAGGATGATGTTTCTTCCTCCATGCCCTCATGTCAGATGCCTTCATTTGCCTTTTACCTCCTTGAGCTTGAATTTTTTTGTGGCTTTGAAGATCGCCCTGAGGAATCAACACTGGCTTAGCCGTTAGCGAGGCAGATGAAGGCGTAAAAGGAACTTTAAAAGGCACGGAAGAAATAGCCTCCGAGGAATGAGGCGAAGTTGCTTCATTTGCAAGAAGGGGGGGGGGTGGAAACAAGGGGAAAATATCATGCGACACCGGATCTTCCGGACGGAACAGTGAAAGACGGCAATAGGCTCTTCTTTATATTTAAAGAAAAATAAGATTGGAACATCACGCATATCGGAGTCATTCAAGTTTGGAGACAAAATTACGCATTGAGATTTTTTTTCATTCCGATGACGGGCCAGAAACTAAAGACTGTGAAAATATCACGTCGATGCCGTGCCGCTTTGAGAAAATAGTACGCCGACCTGATTTCTCTGCGCTAACAATGCTGAGACGTTGAACAGTTGAGAAACAATTAGAATAAGGAAGTGCTACCGCTGATATTCATCCATTTGTGGAAGTGCCGCACCCGTATGTGGTTGAACCGAAAGCCCTATTGCCAATTGGCGATCGTGGACTGAACCCAGGAAGCGTAGGCGGAGGCCTTGACGTAACCGCTTGGGAACAATGCACAACTCCCCAAGAGGTAGGAAGAAATCCCGCTCACGAAAGCTCGACCATCTGCGTATTGCACCACCAGGGGCACGCCACCATCAAACTGTCGGGTGAACCCGCAAATTGTTCGATCACAGGAGGAAGAACCGGCAAGAGAAATGTTGAGGCTTTCATTTGAAAGGGGTGAAACGCTGAAATTTGTCCTTGCGTCATTTTTTTAATCTCGCTGTAATTCATAATATTGTATGACCTTCTTGAGGAAAAGCTTTCTTAAAAGTAATTTTTAACTACTCTTTATATAAACATCTTTTTGGTCGTGGTGGGAGTTTCCAATGCCAGCGTATAAGAGATTAGGCAAAAAAAGAACTGTAGGATCATGAGAAATGGTAATTTTAAAGCACATAGGCAGATAAAATGTTATGTATGCGACCTGGTCTCAATAAAGAAACGCCACACTCTCCAACCTTATAGATATCAAGCAACGGACTACCGTTGGACTTAGTACAGATCTCAATTGTATCAATCCAAATGAAAACTACGACGGCGAAGCTCGACGATTGTGAGGGCATTAAACCGTTATTCTTTCGAGGAACCTGCAATGCAAAAGAAATCTATATTCTGGTCAATACATTTAAAAGTTACCGTTACTTAGCTGATGCTGGCTTACTGGCTTCCAGTCGTCGTCAAATTGGCGATAGAGACATTTCACAAATGTTTCATTTGGCCATTTTGACCATCTTCTTGAAATTGCCTCGTCTCATTCCAGTTGGCAGGAATTACTCTAACTCTACGGTATAGTCTATGCCTTGAATCCTTGTGCAGCCGCATTGCCTACTGCCCCTCGAGGACAGCCATAAGAGGGATTAACACTTGTCAACTGAGTTGATTGAGAGACTCCACCTTTTATTGAGGGGGTGGGGAGGTAGTAAAAAGGGAAGGAGCTCACTTCCGAAAAAATTCCTTTTTTAAGCTTATTTCTGCAAAAATTCCCCTTCCTCTACAATATTGGTCATATTTATCACCATTGGCATAGGCACTCATCTAATGAGCTGCATCACCCTTTCACTCTTTGACAGTTTACCGCATGCACAAGGATTCAGGATATCGACTACCTATGTCTTGCTTGCTGTAACCTTTACAGACAACGTCAAATTGGTCCTGCACTCATTCAACAGAACAGATATTGAAACTATTTCACTTTTGGAACATATTCCTGAGTATATCCCTCCCTTCTTGAGATCATGCAAATTTACAGAATTTATTTAATAGGATACATGACCGCGAGTCCTTGCACCCTCTGACCCCATTCTCCTTTCCTACCTCACTTAATTAATATTGACAATGTAAGGGAAGCAAGAAACAAAGCGATCGGGAACACGATCGCTGCACTCACAAAACAAGATCCGGTAGAAGGAGTCACTCCTGAGACGCAAACGATCTTGCCCACTGCGCCAAAACAACTCGAAGCGGTTTGGGATTCGACATTAACACTCAGTTTTTGCAAGGGGCTTGAAGCCGTCGTACTCGCTAAGGAATATATACCCCAGCCGCAGATCTTCTTGTCGCATCCCGCTATGGCCGTCCCCAAGTCATCCGTGATTGGGTAGCAGATGGGTTGGATGCTCGGCCCGAATGTGAGCCGCGAAGGTAGGTGGATCAGGGCGATGTCGTTTCCGAGAGCTGCAGTTCCTGCAGGAGTCAGAACGACGGGAATGCCGAAACTGAACTCTTGTAGCATGCTGCAAGCTTGCCTTTTTTAACTTTCCAAGGCGCCACAAGGACGAGAGGATAGAATTAACAGGATACCGTCGTTCGTTGGGACATGACTGTCTCTCTCTCTAAAGAAATATAATGGTTGTAACCTATTCTTGACTCTTGGTTCGTTGGAAAATGTACTCACGTTCAATGATGCGGAGGAAGCGCAAGCACCTCTTCACTTAATAAATAGCCTTAATTTCGTGGGTTGAAATCCAAAAAATACCTGAAATACCAGGAATCCAAAGTTCAAATGCACAGAGTGACCTTCAAGTAATCGAATGCCGTGTTCAGTGAATGCGATGCCGACATGCTTAGCACAGAAATCCGCTTTTAGCGTAGCCAATACACAATTTAAAGACTGGAACAACACGAGAACAAGAAATGGAAGGAGGAAAATAAGAATCTCACAATTGAAGTCGGGATGAGCTTTCTAGGAATCGGCAATTTTTTGGGTTGCGGATGACACGGTTGCACTCCCTACATTGACAACGATCCTCTGGCGCAGAGTATACCTGGAAACGGTTTCTTCTGAGTGTATCGTTTGGGAAACGGAAAGTTTCCGCCGAGAAAAGAGAAACAAGAAAGATTCTCGACCGCTGCTTACGTTTTATACTCGAGGACGCATTGGGCAGAAGTGAGAACCTACTGATCGCCGATGATGGAAGCGCTGCAATATGATTCTGCTGTGGACTTCCCCCACTTCGCTTTGCTGGAAGATCCGTTTGTCAGAAAAGCCGCGAATGGAGCTTCTGAGATGGTTGCCGGGGTCCCGCCTATGATGAGCGGGTCTTCTCTCGTGCTTCCCTGCACGATGCCCAGGAACCCATACCAGAATCTGTCGAGCCACGTCCGTACGGTGATACCCGAAGTCCCTTGTCGTACCAAATTCGACCGGCCGCAAGGTGTGGTGGTCACTGCATGAAGATTAAGAGCGAGATCAGATGCAAAATCCTTCGCGCGACTTTTATCCAGCCCCCAAGAACTGCTCAATATATCTCCCGGAATTTAGCATTTTTTCTGAACAGTCCAGCAAGCACTGGTCCTGAATCACCAAGTTTTCAAATTCGAGACATTGTCATTGAACATTCTTCAATTTGAACGTTTTCTTGAACTAAGATCAAACGTATGCATTATTCATATATATTAATATAATTACAAACTTTAGCGAGTCAAAAAGTAATTTTCTCAGTCTTGTGACAGCATATGACACGCTCCATGACTTCTGCTTCATTCTGAATTAGTAAAAATAGGAAAAAGACAAAATCAAACTCGTTGTTTGAAAAAAAATAACTTGAAAATGTGAACACGTCAACAAGGGCGCATGCACCTGCGATGGTCAATTCCAATTTCATTCCCATTACATAAAACAAAAAGAACATTCTATGGGTATATCGGTATACATAAAATATATGAAACATTAAAAAATGATAGATGCGCGCATTTTACGAGACTGCTTGTTCAAGAACTAATGATGAAGCGAAAATTATAATGGAGAGAAACTGACGTCCACTTATCGGAGTGGGAGCGGCAGGACAACTCTGTTGTGCAGTTGCTGCATGAAGGAAAAGGAGAAGAGCGCTGGAGAGAAGGGACACTCCGGCTATTGGCTTCATCCTCGCTATCACACGGCCTGGCTTGGACTGGGGAAGGAAATTTTGTCGGGGAAAATGCGGAGGAAAGAAGTGAGGATACTAAGAAAAGACTACGTGTCATGTGCTGACACATTTTCCTTGTGTAGGGTAAAAAGGAAGTGTGGGGTCGTTTTCTGGTAAACACGGCGCGATTCAAGGAAAATTTTTTTTCATATTTTTCTTCCCCGAGGCACGTCTCATGATTTTCCGCATGTCTTGGCCGCCTCACTTCAAAGAAGGAAGGAAAGTTTTCCTTGTTGGATCTCTCGTTGAAGCCAATTTCCCAGCCATCCATCTATTTTTTTTTTGCCAGGTCCCCCTCAGAGGACAATTTTGGAACATGCACTCATTAGAAATACGAAGCAGCTTTAACTCTGCACTTTGCTTGGAGATCAGGTCATTCGGACAACTTTAGCATCCCATACGAAAATATTTGAAGAAGTCGACTGAAAGGAAATTATTGATCTAAATATGAATTTTATAGGTGAAATTGGGAAGTAGGAGAGTGAACTGCGAGGCCGTGCCACCGAGGGACCAGTCCGCCCCATTAGAAACGCCCGCTTGTTGAATTCCGTTAGAAAGGGTTTCATTAGCAAATTAGCGCACCTATTTCCATGTGACCTCACGATTGCACCGACAACACTAGGTATTATATCATGAGGAAATGAATATTTTCAAAGCTAGCATAACTCTCGGAGTCCAAGTTATATAAAGTGTGCAAAGGTTCGCTTAATGGCGTACTGATCCATGCAGTACTCTTGCACCTTCACCGAAAGGGAAATCGGGCCAATAGGTTTCATTAAATTACGTAAATAACAATATGATTCCATATATACTGGGTTAATCAGAGCCATTTCAGTCATCACTTAATTTCTTCTTTTCACAAGCGATGATTTTATAGTCCGGATAGCCGATTGATACCATTTACCACGATTTGATGAGTAACGTTTTCTTTTTTGTAGGTTTTAATTTCTTATTTTCCGAGTCTGAGACTTTCACTCAAAATTTTTCCAATGGAAAGCTTTCCCAGCTTTTCTTTATCATTCGAAATTTCCATTCCTTCCACACACACATGTCATTTATTTCTCCCCTTATCTTCAACATTGGGAAATTTCCATTGCGAGGATAGAAGGCATGGAGCGTGTCATATGCTGTCACAAGACTGAGAAAATTACTTTTTGACTCGCTAAAGTTTGTAATTATATTAATATATATGAATAATGCATACGTT